TGCATAGATATGCAACTAAAAACAAAAATATGACAATTTAGTACCATGACTGCGAGGTCACAAATATTCAAATAATTATGCTTTTACGACGGTCTTAAAAACTGTATTAATGAATTCCCAAGAACTTTAACGCTGACATGTCGACATGACGTCAACGGCGACGGCGGCTATCGGTAGGTTTATCATTGCACCACCCGCTCGCCATCACGTACCCCCACTTCACCTTGTCTTGTCTGATGCCTTTTTTTTATATTATTTATATTGTTTTCTTACAATTCCTTGCTTTGCAACTATACTGTGTTTTTTTCATTTTTCGGCTTACAACCATTCAAAATTTTAATTTACTTTCATAGAGTACTTTACTCTCATAATATGTTATTTAAACATACGATTATTGTACATTTTTCAATAATAAAAAATTTTGTTTAGAATATTGAATCATGAAAAATGTTAATCAACAATATTGTTCTATTGCGTACCAAATCTCAATAAAATATATTGAAGATTTTGGCTACATGGAAGTATAAGTAAAACGAAATACCAGACACAAAAATCAATACATTAATTGCTCGACATGGAATCTTATATAATAATACTAATAACTACTGTTTGTGTTTTTGTCGTATGAACACCTCATATACGTAAAAGTGTAGGTACTGAGTATAGCTACTAGAGTCTGGAGAGTGACGATCAAATCTGCACACGCTGTCAATTGATGAATAGTATATAATACAATTTACATTTAAATGAATAAAGAAATTGAAATTAAAAATACTTATGTACCTATGCTGTAATAACCTTTGTTGAAGCAGTTGATTATTAAAAAAAATGTCTGTAACAGCTCAAAACGAGTCAAAATATTTTGAGTAGTATAGGAAATATGGAAAATCACAAAATAAACATACCTACTATATTGCAAAATTTCAAGATTCTGCTGTTATTAGTTTTAAAATTATAACTAAATAAGAAAATCGGTCCATAAGAAATCGAGAAAATGTGAATAAATAATAAATAATCCAACTTCGTAAAAATCTGAACTTCAAAAACTCATGAAGGTTTAATTTAACTTTCGGGGAGGTGGACATTTTTTTTTTTTTTAGATAAAATAAGACAAACTTTAGAGGAATCATATAATATATAGCTATACCCAATAATAGTGTGGTAATCTAGGCTCTCACAATATACTGTATTAAATGCGTTATAGTGATACATAATATGTATAGGTACACACGTCGAGACGTATTCGTAGATATATTCGTGTATAATGCACGCACAAACCTACATAATATTATACCGAACCGCTACAGTCTCGGAGTAGGTATAAATAATATATTTTTTTTTTTTTTTGTCTATCTGTTGGCGGTCGTCGGAAGTCCGTTATACCCGATGATATTGTTCCGACGAGCCGCACCTTTTCACACCCGGAAGACGCGCGTGCGAAACCGAAACGAGCAGCTTCCGCGGCAGCAGTAGCAACAGGCTGCCGAGTCGTGTCCCGCCGTCGCGCTAACGAGAAACCCGACAAAATATTATTATATTTCCCAGGACAGAAGTGCGCCATTATACCGTGTGTGTATAATATATATCGTACCCATAATATGCATAAAATAATATACGTAATCCGTCCGCGCTCGTATGTGCATATACGAATATACGCGACGGGGGTCGTGCCCGCGATCGGATCAACGATTATAATGACGCTCGCGATGTATGATCTATGATCGTGCATAACATTGCAGGTATCCGGTATATACCATATATTATATCAGGTGCGCGTGTGCATATTATTCGTGGTATATATTATATTATTATAATCGTTTCGACCGATTTGGGAGAGGGTCGTGGAAAATGTGCCTGCAAGCGACCATCATAATATTATATTGGAACACATGAAAATAATATTGTGGCAGAGCTTAAGCGCTTGATCTATGTGTGCATACATCTATATGCACAGCAGCAGGCACGTCAAACTAAAAGTGTATTAACTGGGCAAAATAAATTGCAGAGTTGCGGGCCGCACATCAAAATGTATAATATTGAAAAAAAACATTTATACGAATTTTTTTTTGGTTCATTATAGTTGCAGTGCTGTACGATTCTTCTTCAAATAGAGTTTTAGTGACCCAAAAGGAAATTTGTATACAGTTATTTTTTATTAATTATTTTTTTCAATTGTTCGTTAATACACAAATGAGCAGAGGGCTGCTTGTTCGACATGACTGCAGATGTACCGTGCGATTGTATACATAATATGCTCCCCACTCTTTTATTCCTTGAATATAATTATAAATTTTATTCACATTCTGATACTTTAAACTTTTTAAAATGTTTTCTGTCGCCTTAATTAACTCAATTCAAATGTTCACTAACAATATGCCCAGACTTGACCATCATATCGACTGCGAATAATATAACATTGTTGCGACGTCAAAGCGTATTACATTATATTATACGTCTTTGTATATTATGTATTAAAATGTGTAATAATAATACGTATATTATAATACTATATAGGTAGGTATGCGTATACGTTCGAATAATACAAAGACCGATCTTTTACGAAATATTATGCTGACGAGCTGTATTATAAGTATCCTATATTATAATAATATGTATACGGCCTCCGTCCGGGTCTTGAACTTTTCTCGAGCGCATTCGGAATATTGAAATAATATTTTAATTATTGTTTGTATCTCGGCTTTGGTCGTGTGCCGTTGCGGCGTTTCTTTATTTTCGTGTATTTCTCGTCCGAATCCGCGACGAAGCGTCTCCCCCCCCCCTCCCTCAATATTCGAATAATATGCAAGTCGCGCGTAATCTGTGACGAATCCGTATAATATCGTAATCGACCGTGAAATAATGTAAAACATTTAGGTATGCTTGATCAAAGCGATTTCTTTCCATTTTTAGAACTTTCTTCGCCGCGGCCCGTAATCCGTATTGGTAGGTAGGTAGGTAGGTAGGTATATCATCATTTAATATTCGTTAAATAATGTAAAATACCAAGCCCATAATACGGTCGGTTATGCCTATCGGCTATCTGTTTAACATATTATAAATATTATGTCACCTGATCGAATAATATTACGATGTTTTTAATATTGATTACCACTACGTTGTATAGTTGCAGCCACTTACGATAGGTACTTACACATTGTATAGTGAATTTTAAAATAGTATAGAATCTCGTCGGCTTTCCGAGAATCGACGATTCCGTATTATAATATAAATATTATTACCCCGCAATGTTTATTATTAATTTTTTAATAAAAATATCGGACTACAGGAAAGACATTATGTTTTATAATTTTATTTTTTTATTTTTATGCGAAGCGGATATTATGTTAGTAACACTTTAGAGTTTATTACGTCATGGTAAATTATCTGTTGTAAAGTTATATACAGACGTACGTATATTACACTAGTAGAAATAATAAATCATCAAGCACATACCAATTATGACAATTATTGGTTTATACCGTGGCTGTATAGAATAAAAATTGCTGTGCACATAGCGAGAATGAGAAAAAAAATATTAACCAACTTTGAAGTACCGACGTGAATTTATCGAGGTGACTGAAAATACATGCATAATAATAATAGTATAACCTCTGTTCAAATTACATTCAAATTTGTTTTAATATCAGCTGGCACCTTTATACAGAACCTATGGGCTATAATACCTATATATATATACAATAGGTACATGTTTATGTGCGACATATTTGTATATGACGTGTGTGTTATGTGTATATGGATTTGTTTAAAGTTTTTTTTAAAAAAATTTTTTGCCATACGATGATGCAACAAATAATATGTTCTATGTTTGAAGAGTACTCAAACGCTTCATCTATTCTAATCATTGATGGAATTTTCCACACTTGACCCTCTACAAATACGTTTCTGAAGATTCAAATCGTTACGTAAGCTAAAAATATTCGAATCCCGATTATATTTGTATACTACAAATACACCTCATCCGATAATAGTAATATATGTATATAAACGGTACTCGTCTATAATAGGCGATGAATGCGAAGCGAAGCGGATAAAAAAATATTGTACACTAATGCAATTTAAGTTGGTGCAATTTGTAATGATTCATTATTCATTCAATATATTATATTATAATAATACTGCTGAATCATAATTACGAACGATTTATATTGTCACATCGAACTAAGTCTTACACTCCTTAGTTCTCGCGGCCGAAAACGTTATCGACATTATCGTATCTGTGCATAAATTATGCATATATAGGTAGAAATACTTAAAAATGTTTATATTATAATATATTATTATAGTGTTGGAATTCACCAGCTCACGTGAGATAATTCTTTCAACCCTTAATTATTATGCTTGTATCTTCTGGATAACACATCTTACATATATTCGCACAGTCTCAGTCAGTATGTAGGTACAATAATTATAGTATATTATAATGTAGTTTGATTAAAAAACTTGAATTTTTTTTTTATATATATTTATAATGCACGCAAACTCGCAGAAATCATAAAAAAAAAAAAAAGTAAACATATAAAATATTGTGACACAATAATAATATTAATCACTCGTTTATTATTGAGTACGCGCGTCCATTAAATACGCACGGGGTGTATATATCTATATTAATAATGATGTAATAAATATTAATACGCGATCAATAAATGCAGCAAAAATTGTTGGCTATAAAACAGTCGTAAATAGCGCACGTATACGAACAACATAATATTATATAGGTATACGATGTGACAAACGTTCAAACACCTGCAACATAGGTAGGTACTTGGCCAGCAGAGAGAACATTATTATAAAAGCCAATATTTCTATAGCCGTCAACGCAGAATCTGACCTTGTCTTTTCTCGAACAAAATAAAAATATTAATTTATCATTTCAAATCGCGTGAAATTTACTCTTGAATTTTATTATATTTATACACGGTAAAACATGTAATATCCACGTTAATAATTTATTTTCATATTTTTTTTTCTTTTTACAGCATTCAAACGTCACGAATGTCTACACCACCATTGCTTGCCAACGCCTAGTTACGGATTTTCTAAGGTAAGAACATTTACACAGTTATATTATTATTAATAAGTACAGTTGTCCCAACGCTGCGGTGTCGTCGAGAGGATCATCGGAGCCAATAGTCCGGATCCCGATTTATGTTTGTGCTTTAAAATAAAAATGATCAACATGTAAATTAATATATTTTTCGAAATAAAAAATAGGCAGTTATTGATTTGTTTAAATTAAGTGACATTTTAAAAAAATATATCAAATTAATTATATTCCTCTTGCTGTAGCGTGGTATTGATATAAACTGATTTTTGAATCGTTTTTTCTGGTGTTTCCACTTCTTTGGACAGATCTCTGATGAGTATCTATCTAATACTAAAAACCCTTTAATATATATTTTTTATTATTTAATTAATAGAGTTGACGTACTTAATGTCTTTACAATGTTACAAATTATAATTAAACTCTTTAACGAAATATATACTCATTAGTCAAGTCATTATATACATATGGCGGAAAAATATTTATAAAATACGTTTGGTACAGAGTTAATATATATTGTGACGTCATAATGATAAAGTCGTAATATGGAGTGCTTGAATTGGGAATTATTAAGTAGAGGAGCTCAATACAACAATTGAAAAACTGCGTTCCTAGAGTAAAATTATCCTAACCATTTCTAAATGTTGAATACTACATCGCAGCTTATTTAGAGCATTTTCTTATTTTAGCTTTATTATACTTAAAATATAATATATTTAACTATGTAACATATAAGTATAATTATAATTTATATTCACCTTATTTTTCAACATTTTTCCCAATTATTTTGCATTCAGTTATTTAAAAACGTCATTTTTTAATATTATAATTTATTATTATTGCCATTAATATAGCAATAATACCTACATGTTTCAGTAGGAAATAAAAAAATTATAATTATCAGTGATAATATTATGTTAATTTGTTGCTCAGACGTATACCTAGGTCAATTGTCAACACTAGTCCACAGATATTAAATAATACAATAGTAAGTTCATTGTACATATTTATTATTTATATACTACTAAACTAGACAAAAAACAAGCTAACTATAATACAAAATAACAAGGTATTAGGTAGCTTAATTATTAGTATATTAGAGATAGAAAACTATTTTTGCTATTAAAATATTATGTATACAATTCGTTAGGCGGATTGAAAACAATTTAAACCCACTCCACATTTTAATAAGTAAAAAAAAAAGAAATATTTGGGGTACGAGATAAAAAAAAAATAAAAATATAAGGGGAGCTCCGTCCCCCTGCGCATCTTCCAATTTTATCACTGGCAATATGTAAAAAAAAGTACGTAATAAAGTCACATCTAACTACTATATGTACTGTCGCATGGGATGTCATCGAAAATGACATTTATAACGGGTAACGGCGATAAGCCGCACAGGCATTATTATGATAACATTATATCGAAACGACATCCTTACGCCGGTATGGGTACGCGCGCACACGTTGTAGCGACTAATGTATGCGTATTATTTTATATAATATTATTAATATTATTCGCATTTCGTGCGCACAACAGCTTATTTAATGAAACGTAAGTGCGATGGCGTTGTGCACACTCAGACGGCGCTCGGCTTTTTCAAATCACCATTATAATATTATTCTACATAGGTTTATATCTGCTGCCAGCTGCATTTAAATACCGGTAGTTCCGAGTGCCGCGGTGACATATCGGCAAATCGGATCGTTTTATACGGCGCGCTCGTATTATTTTATACCCGCAACATAATAATAATAATAATAATATATAATATAATGCGTATACCCATTTTATGCGTCCATATCTCTCCCGGTGTAGTGGGTGTGTGTCCCACAAACACACTGCGGCGAGCACCACTGCAGGTTGTCGGACACTTTCTCATGACCTCGCGAGCGTTTGCACGTTCATACTGCAGCACACACGCGCGCGCGTGTGTGTGTGTGTGTGTGTGTGTGTGTGTGCGTGTGTGCGTGCGTGTCAGTGTGAGAGCGTGTGTGTTACCGAGAGCGAGCGCCCACACGCGCCCCGGTCGTGATCGAGTCCGAAAACGCGGGAGCCACCGCGAGAAGGATCGCGTGCTCCGGTCGTGAACGGGACCGGCCGCAGCCGTCATCTTCGTCATCGCGCGGAGGCATAACAGTATAATAATGATAATAATAAAAAAAAAACATAAATAAATAAACAATAATACAATTATTATTACAACTGATACTCTATTACATATTGTTGCAATGCGCGATGCACCGTCGTCGTGCCCGACACCTATATAATTTATCCATCGTTTTTTTGGACGCCGTAGTCGTCGTCGTCATCGTCGTCTTCGGTTTTTATTTTTTTCGTTCCCACGATGATATATTATGGGTAGGCACCTACAACAACATATTATATACCCGCAGTGTGAGTGTGTGTGTATGATAAACGTGTAAACATAGTATTATATTATAATTCTTATTCCGATTGGTGTAAAAAAAAAAACGGATAGGAATACAAAAAGTAGCTTGATTTAAATACCGTCAGTGCACGTGAAGGCGTGCCTACCATACTATGATAACGAATTGTAATGTTTTAATTTATTTCAACTATCCACTATGTATTATGTACTGCAGCGTGTTCGGGCTACAGTTACTTAATACTTGGGCTGGTTAAATAATAGCATACATAGAAATGGGATTTTCAGAGAACTTATTGTGTGTTATAATTGTTATACTGATTTGTTATAATTTGCAAAAAATAGAGAAATACAATTTTTTTAAATATTAAATCTGTAGACATTGCGACAAGTTATGTCTTATAATGGGAACGTTTTTTAGCATCGCACCATTATATGGTCGAGTTATTAAAAAATTGTAAGAGTTAAATAACGGTATGGTTTCAACACTGAGTTGTAGGCACTTATTTATATTTTAACTTTTTTTTGACCAAATTCTTATTTCGGCCTTTTCCGATAGTCCATTTAATTTAAAATCAATTTAAGACTAAGACATAGTACTAGTAAATAATTCTAACTTTGCTCATACTGTTGTCCTTATCATTCACAACGATCAAAATAATTGTGTTTACAAACTTATAACTATATTATGAATACAATGTCTTTAATCATAACGTTTTAACATTTTTTGTTTTATGATTTAATTACACAGTACGAAACACGTACATAATTCTGAAAAATTTAATACAGCAGATCCCAAAAATTATGTATTTTCAATTGGAGGTCACTTGTCCAAAATATTCAGGATGTTAGGTAACACCTGACTCCCATTGTGCCTATACGCTCGTGCCCATAAATTCATTAATGGTTAGTACGCCGGGGCGGATTGTTTGCTTAACTGGCGGCGGTACACATAAAAAACACACAGACCGCCTCGAGACCTATCGCTGCCGCCGTCTTGTGTACATATTAATAATAATTGTTCGTGTGGATTATTTAACGATATTACTTCTCTTTCTAGTATTGATTGCGAATACGCGATAACGTGAAGGGTTTTTTTCATGGTCGACTTATGTGGCTTTTTTAGCGGGCAACGTTGCTGTACAATGTACAAACGTGTTCTGGAAAAAAAAACAATAATTTCTACGATTTTTAGAACAATCATTACTACAATAATTATACTTCTTCTTCTTTCTCCAACATGGCTACTCTTTAAGAGTTTTTGCCGTCAATGCTACACTTCGCCACCTAGTTCTATCTTGAATTGTCTCTCTCCAATCCTCAACTCCTAGAGTTTTTGAATATATAATTTTTACTACAATATACTATATTCAATTTTGAAGCCTCAACACGGAGATGCATACTTACTTCCCATACACATTTTTCTATGCAGTGTATAATGTTATCGCTGTACTGATTTTGTAGATTGAAGGAATACACTCTTATATTGGCGATGTATGGTTATTAATATTATACATTACAAATTTAAAATTTAAATATCTCGATTCCACAATTTCTCCAATATTACTTGTGAAATTTAATAAGGTAACTAATTAAACTCGTTAAATTATACGAAATACATACATTTCACCTGAAAAATATGCATTTTTTGACTCAACGTTTAAAATACCTAGAAATTTGAATGCGACGTGTGGTGAGTATCGATTTTCTGCATACAAGTTACAGTTATAATCTCGTAAATAAGTATTATATATATATATATATTTGTGAATTATAAGTCATAACTACCACTTACTATAATAATATACATGGACATATTCCTCAATGTACACAAATTGAACCATGTACGTATAGCATGATCGATTTTAAAAATATAAGTAGCTAATTTTATTCTAAATATATTATTACCTATGAACTACAGGCGTCGTACAATTAAAAATATATTCCCACGAGTTCTGAAATCGATATACGATCGCAAATAATCATTATTAGGTATAGAGAAAAAAAACGAAAACGAACAAGGAAATACCATTTAATTATTACGGTCGGACACATTTAAACGGTATTGATTATTCAGACTTAAAAAATGTAAAATACACAGTAAACGGACGTCTTGTCTTTACAATTTTTTTTTTTTAAATGCATATCAATATAATATGACGCAAATCATTATTTTCATTATACTACGAGTTCAGTGTGTGTATATATATATATATATGTATAGATCAACGTGTTAACGTCAAATCTGACCTAAATGTAGTCGTTTAAACGGACAAATACACATCGACAGATATTATTATTTTTCAATCATGCTAATGAACACGTTTTAAAACGCGATACGATTACAAACTGTCTCATACAAAATAAATAAGCTCTCGATACGTTTTATATATATATAATATATATATTATCATAGGTTTACGCACGCGGTTCTTTAAACGTCAATTATTGTATGCATTTTTGAAACAATGCAGTATTGGGTCGGGTATTATAATAATAATATTATGTATGTGAAATATACGGTTCGCAGGGGTCACGAACGAAAAGGGCAGCTAATTAAAGTCATTATACGACTTGGCGTACATGGCCAAATGAACATAAACAATACGAC